CTATGAATGTATTGCTACTGCAGCAAAAATAAATAAATAAATAAATAAATAAATAAATAAATAAATAAATAAATAAATAAATAAATGTCAGAACCAACTTTGTGAATGTGAGAGAGATGAATCATGGGGACAGATTTGTAAGCAGGAAACTGATATGGTCGGGTAGGCAAGTGTCGATATTAATTCTGGAGAATCCTAACAGTATTGATTAGAAATAAATCAAATCTTCTCCGACAGCCGAAGAACTTAACTCTGTAACTTTAGGGCAGGATATTCTAATTACTATCTATTCCTACACCCCTTGCATACTTTCGTTTCCACTTCTGTCTTCTCCCCCTTCCCTTCCTTATCAACCTTCCCCATTATTCCTAAAATTCCATGACCTGCTTCTGGCACCATTGACTAATGATGTTCTTTTCCCCTTTTCTTGTCTTTGTTTGACCACATTTCTCTTTCTTTCTTCGTCTTCCTGTATTTCTCTCTCTTTCTCCCTTTCTCCAAATCAGGCCCTCCAAAGATTCGGCCTATGAAGAACATCACGGCAGTGGCAGGAAGAAACACTTTCATAAACTGCCGTGTAATTGGGTATCCTTATTACTCGGTTAACTGGTTAAAAGAGGGACTTCTGCTGCCTGACAACCATCGCCAGGTGAAATCTTATTTGTAAATATGCTTTGTTTTAGGTGGACTGTGTTGTTAGGATTATTGTTGCCATTTCACTGCAAAAAAAAGGCTCTTGGTTAAATGTCAAGCTTTGAGTGGAGTTTACATGTTGTTTTTGAGTATGTCTTCCTACTGCAGTCCAAAAACATTCATGTGAGCGTAATTAGTGATTCTATATATAATCTAATTGTGAGAGCAAAGGGACATCCTGGTTTGTCTTATTTGCCTTTACTGGGCCTGTAATGGTCTGGTTTCATAATAACTTAAATGTCAGACACTGCATTACTCGTTTACTTTCATGTTATCATCACTGAAGCCAAAAAATTCCAATGAAACAAAGCTGTACGGAGCCTGCGAGGGGACATGGGAGATTTTATTTTCTTTTGCGTTCCCACGCAATAGTATTGCGTTACCTTGCAATACCTTTTGCATTCCCTCGCAAAAGTCGTTTATCACTGATGTGCCTGCCGGTTTATGAACAAATTCACCTGCTCACCATTAGCGAGTTAGCCTGCTACTTTAATTCAGCTTCAGAATGAATATATCACACAGCCACGCATGGAAGTATGTTATATGCCGATATTTTAACACAATGCAGCCATGAAACGTAAATGTCAATTTCACGAGCTCTGGCGACACTTCCTGTTTTGGTAACTGGATATTTCAAAATACAAGTCTGATTTAATTCAGTTTGTAAACAAAACAAACTTTTGCTTGGGAATGCAAAACAATTTCACGAGGGAAAGCAAACGTTTGCAAGGCAACACAAAAAGTATTGCGAGATAATGCAAAGATATAGCGAGGTAACACAAAAGTATTGCAAGGTAACGCAAAAGAAAAAAATCCTCCCATGTCCCCTTGCTGGCTCTGTAAAGATGAAACCACAAAATAACCTTTTTTTCTTTTATATCAGAGTTGTTTTGATCTTAGGGCCATGTTTAATATGATGACCTGTGTACATATTGTTTTATATACTTTATAATCATACTGAAATGTTGGTCGTGTTTGTCCAGGTGGTGTTTGAGAATGGGACACTTAAGCTCAGTGATGTTCAGAAGGGTATGGATGAAGGTGTCTATGTCTGCAGCGTGCTGATCCAGCCACACAAGTCCATCACACAGACTGTTTACGTCACAGTCAAAGGTCAGTTACTGAGGTGACAATGTTGAACATTAAATGTCTTTACACATGTTTAGGTTTTATTTTCTTTACACATACGTCTCATAGATGGCTTTATGTGTATGTGTGTGTTTGGAATATGCACAGTAGTTTTTGTGATTTTGACTTTGAGAATGAGTGAAATGCTTATGTTTTTATGCCTGTTCATTGAAAGTGGTCCACCTGGGGCTAATGTAGTCCATTTTGTTGTTGGTGTTGGTTTTGATGCTTTTTTGTGTTGCACCAAAGTTGAGGTTTTCTCTTTGCAAATACCTTTAGCCTTTTGTAATTGCAAAAATAAATTTCAAATACCTCTATATGATGTTCGTAGTATCAGCTTCCGACAAAATTTTATGACAACTAGGGAATAGTAGCAAAATCAGTAAAGTTGCATTTATGAAATGTACATGATTGGTTCTCAGTGCCGGTTACACAGAGAACAATGTAAATGATGAAAAATACATTGTTAAAAACAGCATTAAGAAACAAAAGTTTGACATTTACCTCCACTTGTTATGGGGCACTTCAGTGCTCTATTTTAGGTCCAATTTTTTGTCTCATTCTTCAATTAGAGTCCATTTTCAAAAAAACCCACACACTTCCAGCTTACCAGCTTCTATTGAGTTATAAATAAAACAGTATTTTATTTGGACAATCTAATCTCCTAAACAGTTAATGCAGTGCCAATGACCCACTAAATGCTTATTGTCATTAATTTGGAAGTAATATTATTGAAATTCCTGACTGTGCTTTTAAAGGGTGTACCACACTTCTCACACTGACCACTTCAAATAGACATCAGCTTCCCACAAGTCAGAGTTGTTATTAGTTCTATTAGTATTGTTATATAGTAAATCTTAAGTCTTGGGATGCAGTAGTTAAGATTTCAGAACTTTCAGAGCTCAAGTCAGATGCCTTTTTTCGTAGACATTTGTCTATCTTCTCTTAATTCTTAATCTCAACACATACCTTATTTTGAACCAATATTCCTATTTGAGGATTTATGAGATAAAAGTCTCACACACTGCTAATCTGCCTTCGAGAAGTTGCCCTTGTTCAGTAATTTTCCTCTCAGCTCAACCACAGTTTAAACCATGTCTAGATCTGCCATGTGCCTCTAGAATTCTCTGGTCCTTTACTCGTGAAAATCTTGTGTACTAAAGTTCGTCAGTCGTGTTCCTCAATGAAATATCACCAAAGAATATGATTAAAAGAAAAATGAGAAGAAATATTTGCAATCTTTATAAATCACACTTTGTTTTAACATTAAAAAGGAAGTGAATACCAATGTCTTGAAGCAGTGTGGTGTTAGTGAAACAGAACAAGAAGAAAGAACAAAGCTTTGTGCATTACCTCTAATAACCTCTGATTAAGGGGCGGAGTGGCCGAGCACAAGCTCTCAACCACTCTGCAATTACAAAGAGCAGGAGTGCTATTGCGTAAGTTTGCTTAGTGTGTGAGCCCCGCGCCTGCTTGTATTAGTATGAATGAAAAGTGTGTGTGTGTGTTGTAAATATTTTTGCATGTAACGTCTCACTCTGTTCTCAGCTGCAGCAGCAGAACGACATGTTTGTTCCAGGAAGTTGTCAATGTGTGAGTGTGGGCTGCGCGCGCGTGTGAAATGTGTGCTGCTCAGTGGTGTAGCGTATTGTTCCTCACCACGTACAGGCGCATTCACATACACGGCCTCCATACATACGCGTAGATCGCACTCTATGTGAACGTAGGTATGTATTTGTATGATTGTGTGCCCGTCATGCCTCTCATTTAATTAGATGAATGTTAACGAGGCCCAGATTAAATCTCCCAGATGTCTCAGCTGAACCCCCATCCCTTCATCTCCCCCTCCAAACTATCAGCATCACCTCAGCAGGTATCCATGGCAACACTGCTCATCCCCCTATGGATGGGGCTCTAATTAGAGCATCTATTATGGGCTGGCTTTAGCAGGGCGGGGTGAGTTAGAGAGGAGGCATTGGTAAAGGGCATGGCTCGCTGCAGTGTGAGTGGTTAATATGGAGATTTTTTTAACTTAGTCTAGAAAGAGACAACAGCTTCAGGATATTGTGTTTGTCATTTATTGCAGTCAAACAAACTGGTTTACTTCAATTTTGCTAAAATGAGTTTAAAACAGGCATTTGAAACATTGGAAGTGTGCAACATAGTCTTTTTCTTCCTTCACTGTTTTCTGTTTCTGTATTTTTATTTTACATTAATTTTTGTCTTGCCTTCTTAATAACCCTGAACAGTCAAAACTATTTATTCACTCACATATTCTTTGTCTCAAAATATTTAACTTCTCTGAGCCCATCTTATTTTACTGTTTAAACATTATACTCACACCAATTATTTAAACAGTCCTATTTTGTCATATCACCTCAGTGCCTGTTCTTTTTGTACTCTACTCATCTTTGCTTTCATAATGTTTAAATTTTATGTGATCTTTTTCTCCTTTCTTCTCATTTTTTTGTTCTTACTTACATTGCCTTCCTAACAGTCTCCTTTCTTTACCTCACTTCTGTTTTCTCCTCTTTTCTTCTGCCCCTTCCTCTCAGTTCCCCCGCTGATCCAACCATTCGACTTCCCCCCGACTTCCATTGGCAAACTGATGTACATCGCCTGCGTTGTGTCGTCTGGAGACATGCCCATACGCATCACGTGGGTTAAGGATGGCCAGGAGATCGTGCCCTCCTCGGGCATCACCATCGACACGAAGGAGTTCATGAGCTCCCTGCAGATCTCTAAAGTATCTCTCAAACACAATGGCAACTACACCTGCATTGCTAGAAATGATGCTGCTACTGTCAGCACAGAGAGGCAGCTCACAGTTACAGGTAAGTGGAGCCAGAGTGTGAAAAGATTAAGCAGGAACGCTATAGTTTGATATAGAGATTACAGAGAAGAGACTATTTGAAGAAAAATTAATCAAAGATGAGGGCCCAGAGACATAGCTAAGGAGAACTTTTCAATACTTTTTTAAACCTTTTTTAATAATATTTTGTGTTTGTCACAAAAACTCAGTCCTGGGTCTATACAAGTGTTGGCATTCCTCTACAAATTACACCGTGCAATGTTCTTAAATTGGAGGGTTTTTTGTATATTTTCACTCAAAAACCACAAAAAGCTAATAACTTAAGAAGATTTATTTTGTCAATGTTTAAAATCTGTGACATTGTTGAGAGACGTCATATCCGACAAAAGGCATTAGGTAAACTAAATGATTATTCCCTACAAACATCTTTAGATATTTTTTCTTTTTAACATAAGGATGCTGCTTTTACACCAGCTTGTCTATATCACTACTTTATAAAGCCAGAAACATTAGAATGTGAGTTTTCAAAACTATTTTTTTCTTTTGGTTGCTCCCCTCCATGAGGGTCAACTCATTGAGCAAACTTGCACAGGACATTTGGCAATTGTTTTACATTAGGTCTGCCATTCCTGATGCAACCTGAGCTCGAAATCACATGCCTCTGGTGGTCAGTGCCTGTGGCTTCAGAAAATGAATCCAAACTCCTGCAGCTCCTCATAAATCTCTTATGAAAGCATCCTGGCAAGTCAAGACAACAATTAGAACAAACATGGATAACTGTGCAAAATAAAAAGTTTGCACCACAGATAAAACAAACAACATGTATTTTATTCACTAATTTGTTTAATCTTGCTCAGTGAGACAAGGTTCTTAAAGGATATATTAAAGTGGAGTTCTGTGGAATGGTTAAAAATATTTTGATAGCTTAGCTGTAACAGATAAGTATTTCAATGATGTTAGAAAAATAATTTCATAATGACCTGACTGACAAGCAAATGGCTAGTCCAACTGGAGCCAAGATAAAACTGGATTGCTGCATTATAAAAACAATTCCAACTGCAAAAAGATGCTTTCATTCAAAACATTTTTATATTACTTTTTGCATTTCTGTCAGTTATAAAAATGGATGATGTTTTGCCTGGTACTGCTGTTTTAGTTTTTTTTTTTTTTTTTAGTTTTCTTTTTCACTTTCTCTCTCATTTCTTTTCAGTGCCTCCTCGATTTGTTGTGCAGCCCAACAACCAGGATGGGATCTATGGAAAGGCAGCAATCCTGAACTGTTCTGTTGATGGATACCCTCCTCCTAAAGTCATGTGGAAGCATGCCAGAGGTGCACTCGGTACATGAATCATCTTTCATACTTTTATCTATGCATGCATGTGTTACAGTATGTGCCTCTGTCAGCATTTTCCTTCCCGTTGCCAGATTCATATTTCCATACTGTGCAAAGTAGATTGTCTCCAAATGCAAATACTGTTAGATTACTTTATCATAATTATTCGTCTTGCTGCTGTCTTGTCTCCTTCTGTGCAGCGGGTATTGGGAGCCCACAGCAGTACCACCCTGTGCCTCTGACTGGCCGTATTCAGATAATGAATAATGGCTCTCTGCTCATCAGACACGTCCTAGAAGAGGATCGTGGCTTCTACCTCTGTCAGGCCTCCAATGGGGTGGGTTCAGACATCAGCAAGAGCATGGTCCTCACAGTCAAAAGTGAGTACACAAGCACACACCTAAGATGCTCTGCTGCCCCTGCTTTATCATCCTTCATGCACTCGCTTACTGTGTCAAACCAGTGAAGCAACTCGAAACACTCTCCTTGTGGGCACGAACACCCACACTCACACATATGATATAGACACAGTGATAGATTAGTGGAGCAGAGGTGACCATGAACACATGAGAAAGCCCACAAAGGAGCAGCAAACGAGAAAGGATTGTGTTTGCACACCTGTGATCGGCAGCAAGAAGACGGCTGAGCGATTGATCGTTTGACTCATGGGAGCTCTCTTGACACAATCAAAAAGACTTTGAGCTTGATCATTATCTGCAATCAATCGCTCCATGCTGCTATGCCTGTCAATATCACCACGGGTAATGCCACATAAAAATGAAATGGAAAATACATAAATACAAGCGCAACGATTATCAGTGTCAAGTACAATATTTTTAAGTAGGCCGAGGTTTCTTTTTCAGCACGTGGTGCATCGATCTTACAATTCAGCTATAATCGAAAGAAAGACGTCAAAGTCCAGTGTCTGACAGAGTTTGACACTTGTGCACTCAAACCCATATAACAATGTGCACGTAAATGTACTGTATCTATTGGTCTCACCATGCTATTTTTTATCACAGGTTTGGCCCTCTCTCCGGTGCGCTCCCCTCTTTCTCCTTCTCGTGTTAGTGTTATTGATTGAACCGTTCCTCTCCTCTGCCTCCCTCAATTCTGTCTGTTTCGCTCAGCGGAGAAGAAGGAAAAGCGGAAAAGAGGGAGGGTGAGATGAATAAGTGATGAAAACAAAACAGCAGAACCCTCCTCGGATCAATACTGAGTGTGTGTGTTGGACTTGCAAGATTAAGTGTGTGTAGAGTGTACATGAAAGGTGGAGTGTATTGTTTTTGCCTCTTCATTCACCTACACCCTAATGTTAACTATTGGAGAATGAGAAAGAAGGTTTATTGACTTTACCTCATTGACCACAGCTCTTCATTACTCTAATGCAATGGAACTCAGCTACTCTGAGCTCCTCCTATTTAACTGCCACTTATTCTTCCCTTCTCCTCTCTGCTTATTCACTTCTGTCTCCCTTTTCCACCTAAAGCTACTTAATATTTGCTTATTCTTTTTTCCCCTCTGTTTATCTCTCTTTTGTCATTGATCTGATTACCATTCCTACATCTTCATCCCGTCAGTCCCAGCAATGATCACAAGTCACCCTAACACCACCATGGCTAAGAAGAATCATGTGAAGGAGCTGAACTGCACAGCCCGAGGAGAATGGCCCATCATCATTCGCTGGGAAAGAGGCGACACCGTCATTGACCCCGATCGCAACCCCCGATACTCCATAACCACCAGTCCGAATGAGAAGACAGACGAGGTGTTGTCTACCCTCAAGGTAAAAATATTTGTATACGCTGAAGCAGCTTGGTGATACAGTCGTGTGTTTGGGATTGTTTTTCTTTTAATGAATAAGTGACTTTCAGTTTCTTGAACTTTGTTCTTAGTAATTCATTTGAATTGTCACTTAGTGATCATCGTGCAAAGCCAGTTCTGGTGTGGTTTGCAAACTTTTGTGTTTTATTTCTTAGAGATTATGAATGATAAAAGAACATATCTGTGTTTTGCTTTTTCCCTTTTCAGCAGTAACTATCCATCCATCCATCCATTTTCTTCCGCCTATCCGGGGTCGGGTCGCGGGGGCAGCAGCTTCAGAAGGGAGGCCCAGACCTCCCTCTCCC